ACCCCCCCGCGACCCCAGGTGCCCCGGGCCCGTTTGGCCCGGAAGACCCCCCGCGCAAAAAAGGGCGAGCCCCCCCGCCACCCCACCCCCCCCGGGGGGAGGATTCCCCCCGCACCCCCCGCGGCGGGGCCCCCGAAAAAGGGCAAACACCCCCCCCCGGGCCCCACCGGGGCCGCGGAAGCGGACCCCCCAACCCCGGCCCCGGAACGCCCGCCGGGCGTCGACCGTTTTTTTTTCCGGACGGCCCCCGAAAAACCACGGGGAGGAAGGAAACCCCGGCCAGAAGGGGCGCGGAAGAAGAAAGGCCCCCGGGGGGGGCGACCCCCCCGAGGCCCCTACCAATACCGCCCCCCCCGGCCGAAAACCGGCGGCGGAGGCCCGCCACCGCGCCCCAAAATACCCCCCCCCGGAAAAAGGGGCCCGCGGGGGACGGGGGGACCCCCCCCCCCGGAGTAAAGGGCCCGGCCCCGAAAGGGGGGGGGGGCCCCCCGGAAGGCCCCACCCCGCCAAAGGAGGAAAGCCAAAAAGGGCCCCCAAAACCAGGAATCGGGCCGGCGGGGGGAAGGGGCCAGAAGGGGGGAAAGCGACGGGCCCCCCCCAAACCCCCCGGGGGAAAACGCAAAAGGGCCCAAAACCGGGGAAGGCGGCCCAGCCGAACCCAAAAACCGCCCGCCGAACGGAGGCCCAAAACCCGGCGGGGGAAAAAGGCCCCCCCCCCCGGGGAATTTCCCCCAAACCCAAAAAAAAAAAAAACAAGGGCGCCCCCCCACAAGGATCCCGGGACCAAGACCAAAGCCCGAACCGAAATTCTCTCCCAAACCCCCGGGAAAAGGGGGGAACGCCCCGCCGCGCCCCCAACAGGCGAACAAACGGGAAACCCCCCCCACCGACCCCCCCCAAACCACCCGCCCAACCGACACAAGGGTTCCCCCGGCCCAGGGGCCGGCCCCCCGGGAGAAAACAACACCAACAACAGAAAAACAAAAACACCAAGGGGGAACCAAACCCCCCCCAAAGACGACCCGGAAGGCCGCCACCCCTTTTTCCAAAAATGGCCCAAAAAGAATTTTTTTGGAAAGGAAGGAGAAAAAACCGCAACCGCAACCCTTTTGGCAGAACCCCATTTTTTTTAACCAAGGGCCCCCCCGGAAAATTTGAAACCGGACGCCACAAACAGAAGACCACAAGGGACGCCTTCCAAAAGGGGGGCCTTGTTGTGTTGAACCTCCCTTTGGGGTGGAAAGGGGGGGCCCCGGGCTAAAATTTAAAAAAAAAAAAAACCCGGGGCCGAAAGCCAAAACCCCCCCCCGACGGGAAACGGGGCCGCTGAAACCGGACCCAAACCGGAACGGGGTCGGAACCCCCCGGGGGAAAATTTCGGGTCGGGGGCGAACCGACAACCAAAAAAAAGCCGAAAAAGGGCGTTTGGGGGAAACCCAAATTAGGGAAACGGGAAGAAAACCTTTTTGGGGGGGGGGGGGGGGGCCCCCCTCCTTTTCCCAGGCGGCACCAAAATTCCCCTCCGCGCCATCCAAAGCGAAACCAAAAGGGAAAAAAAAAAAGAAAAAAAGGGGAAAAACCCCCGACCGAAAAAAAAAAGGAAAAAAAACAAAAAAGAAAAAAGAAAAAAAGGAAAAAGGGAAAAAATCCAGTGGTCCAGTGCCGTTGTGTTTAGTTAGCATCTTACTTATAACTATTACATTTTGTTTATTTATAACTATTACATTTTATATCTTATTTTTCTAATTTTTTGACAATTCATATTTCTTAACTGTACTGTACTCCTTGTGTATTAGTTCTGACATTTTTCTATTTGTCTTAACTTAGTTTTGTCTCAACATTTATTTATTGTGTATAATGTGTTTAGTATTGTATCTATTATCTTGTTTCATCTATGTATATCTTTCCTTGTGTTCTAGTTTTAAATTTCTTCTATTTGTCTTAACCTAGTTCTGTCTCGATATTTATTTATACACAGTATTGTATCTGTCTTACATTTCTATGTAGTTTACACAGTTATGCCTTCAATAATAGGGTTGGTGTTCTGTGTTGTGTTGCATTTCCTCTATTTGGTACGCTCTTCTTTAGGCAATAACATATATAAAATAATTTATATATTTATTATCCGTTTCTTGAACTGCTTTAATTTCTTATTTCCTTTTCTTTCTTTGTACGGAGTTACTAATTTGTTTCGTGTAGTGTTCTTTTGCTGATGTACTAGTGTATACCCAATATACATTGTGTATATCAGTGTGTGTGCGTGTTATTTTTCGTTTCATGTTTTGTGTGTGTTATGTTCTGTTTGTGTGTTACTGTGCTGATATTTTCCTGTATCTATACTAATATTATAAAGCTGAAGAGTTTGTTTGTTTGTTTGTTTGTTTGAACTCGATAATCTCAGGAACTACTGGTTCGAATTGAAAAATTCTTTTTGTGTTGGATAGTCCATTTATCGAGGAAGGCTTTAGGCTATATAACATCACGCTGCAACTAACAGGAGCGAAGCATCAGTGAAACATGTTGCAAAAACGGGGAAAATTATTCACATTTGAAGGCTTCCGTTGCGTGCGCTGCGTAAACGGTTCAAGTTACCCAAAAATATGTATAAAAGAATTATTCCTCTGTGAATGATCTAAAAAAATGTCCGTGACAGTATATGTCTATCTTTTAAGATTGTCTCACTATAACCTTTTTTATGGTAATCAAATTTGGTCGAAATTAATGCATTATTGCCTATTATTTGCCAAAGAGTTTTATCAACATAATATTAATCCTTATCCAAATAAATGTGGTGTTGATTAAGAGTATTTAATTGTGAACAAAATTGTCCTTGACATCACTTAATTTCAATTAACATCTTAGAAGATAATACAATTTTAAAATAACTCCTCAACAAAATTCACACAACACAAGATTGCGCTGGCCGGCGGGCGAGGGGGAGGCGGTGCTTGGTGGCCGCCCGCCGCCGCCGCCACCACCCTCGCATGTAGTTCTACGAGGTACCATGCCGCGCGGCTCAGACGCGTGGTCGGCTCCCTACGGAACGGTTGAATTTAGCGTACTGATTTTTCAATTTGTTTTTGCGATATATCATCGTGTGTATTACGAAAGTATAATACTTTCGTAATACACTTTTATTTTGTAGTAGTTATCTATTGTTGTTTCGGCTATATCTAATCGTGTAATACCTAATACTTTTTCAATACACTTTCATTTTATAGTAGTTTTCTATATAGTATTGTTTGTTTTAAGGATAGTATTTTGTTTCTAATATTTTTACAATAATTAGCACTTTTTTTGTTTTGATGTAGATAATATAAGTAGGTTTCATCTACATAATTATTCTTATTAGGTTAGGTTTTTGTTTACTAAAGCATATGGTTGGTTACCTTATTATGTTTAAATATCGAAATAATTAAATTACCTTTATAATATTTCATTTTTTTCATTACACATCAGCGTACTGATTTTTTAATTTGTTTTTGCGATATATCATCGTGTAATAATACTTTCGTAATACACTTTCATTTTGTAGTAGTTTTCTATTGTTGTTTCGGCTATATCTAATCGTGTAATACCTAATACTTTTTCAATACACTTTCATTTTGTAGTAGTTTTCTATATATTGTTTGTTTTAGGGATAGTACCTATTTTGTTTATAATATTTTTACAATAATTAACATTTTTTTTTTTTGGATGTAGATCATATAAGTAGGTGTCATCTACATAATTACTCTTATTAGGTTAGGTTTTTGTTTACTAAAGCATACGGTTAGTTTACCTTATTATGTTTAAAAATCTAAATAATTAATGCACATTATTCATCTATCTAAATAGTTTTTTTTTGCGTTTTCTGACATCATTTTACGGTAATCCCTTTGACATATATTTTATCCGATTTACGTACCAGAAGCAGGTATAAATTATTAAGTACATATTTATTCACCTTATGTTTGTATTTCTTGATTACGAGATACGGTTTAGTTAAGTTTTAATTTCCTACGTTTTTTCTTTTATCTTTTTCGTTACTATAATGGCTGGAAAAAGAACTCAGCTTTCTCGGCAGACTGCTACTGCAAAGCGGCTGCGACTTTTGCGCAGCAATGAAACAGCGGATGAAAATATGAAACATGAAACAGAATGTAACAGTATGAAACAGAAAGAATATGAAACAGCGGAGGGAAACTTCATGCCGACTTTTAAAGTCCAGGGGCAAGTTTATCATTTGATCGGTAATTTACTTCCAGCTGAAGGTGCACAACCCGAATTTTTGCAAATATATTTTGTTTCTCATGCAGATCAGGTATCCTTGCGCTCAAATTTAAATCCAACCTTGCAAATCTACCTTATCGACGCTCTCCAAACATATCTTAACGATCATAATATGTATATTCAAAGTTTTAAATACAATCTCGAAAATAGACCAACGAATGATTTTAAACTTATTATTCATGCTGATGTGAAACCTCCTAACGAGCATCGAGGTCGGTATAATGCACCAATAGTAGATGAAGTAGCTGTTCTTTTGATAGATGAAGACAAAGGTGGCCGGCTGGCTGGCCGGCTCAGCTGCACCTAGCACCACCAAGTATGTAGGTTGGAATTTTAATAAAGCGGATTTTAGGTTATTGTATTATTTAATAGCGATAGTAGATTGGACGCCAATGTACGGGTTAGACTTAGAAAATAGTTTAAACTTTTTTTACAACACCATTAACTCAGTTATAGATGGCTGTGTTCCGAAAAAAAAGCGAAGTCGTGTAAACTCGAGGTATGTTTACCCTGAGTGGTACACTATTGAAATTATTCGCGACATACGACTAAAAGCTGTTCTTCATAAACAGTATAAAAAGAGTGGCTTACATTGTGATTACGAAACGTTCGCTCAGTGCAGAGCTAAGGTGAAAAAAAGTATCGCATATGCACGTAAACAGTACCAACATCGTATTCAAAATGAATTACATAAAGATCCAAAATCCTTTTGGAATTACGCTAAATCTATGCGAGGAAGTAGAGTTCCCCAACAGATATTTAAAAATGGGGAAGCGTTAACGGATGACCAATGTGCTAAAGATTTCGCTGATTATTTTTATTCTATTTATAGTGCGGAGCGGGCCGAGTTAAATGTGAGCGCAGCTATATCACAAGCGGGCAGCGACAATAGCTCGGCTCGCGTTCACATTGACCAATTGCAACTGAATGACGTCATTCGCGCCCTCCAACAACTTAAAGCTAAAAGATCCACAGGACCAGACTGCATTCCGCCTTATATATTTAAGGATTGTCGGTCGGTTTTAGCGCAGCCGCTTTTGGATATTTATAATAAGTGCCTAAAGGCGGCAGTGTTTCCGGAGCGATGGAAAGTAACCCGCGTGGTGCCCGTGCCGAAGGGAAGTCTGGGGGCACAAGTGGATGGATACAGGCCGGTTGCAGTACTATCGACTCCGGCAAAGGTGTTTGAAGCTGCAATCCACACAAGCATATTTCATCAGGTAAGTGCACAACTTGCCGATGCCCAACATGGTTTTCGGCCAGCGAGAAGCACCACTAGTAACCTTCTCAGCTACATGGCTCATATTGTGCCAACAGTGGACAGTGGGGGACAGATTGATTCGGCTTACTTTGATTTTAAAAAGGCATTTGATCTGGTAAACAATGACGTCCTGCTTAAAAAGTTAGCCGTGGTTGGGTTTACCCCCCACTTGCTTAGTTTTTTTGCCAGCTATATGAGCGATCGGCAGCAGTATGTAGAATACGCGGGACAAGTCTCAGAACCATATTTTACGCGATCTGGCGTGAGTCAGGGCAGTAATCTCGGACCACTATTGTTTATAATTATGATAAATGACTTGACAAGAGTGGTTCAAGACGCTAGATGCTTACTGTTTGCTGATGACCTCAAGCTCTCTTTTGCTGTAAAAAGCGTGGATGACTGTAAAAGGTTGCAAAGGGACATAGACAGGGTAGTGGATTGGAGTAGAGATAACCTCCTACAATTTAACACCTCAAAATGCGTGATAATTAGTTTCTCTCGCGCACGCAGCCCTGTGGTACATAATTATAATATAGACGGAACGCCGCTCACACGGGTCACAGAAGTTAGGGACCTAGGGGTAAATTTTACCACTGCGCTAACGTTTCGCAATCACATCACCAAAATTTGTAAGAAAGCATACAGGAACTTAGGTTTTATCCTTCGCACGGTTCAACAGTTCACAAATATTAGCGCGGTTATTGCCCTGTATAATGCTCTGGTCCGAAGTCAGCTGGAATGTAACGCAGTTATCTGGGCTCCTCATGAATCTAAATATAGGCTCATGGTGGAGCGGGTACATAACAAATTTTTGAGATATCTATATTTGCGTCGGTATGGTGTATACCCACTCTACCCATTAATGTACCCAACTTTATTTATAGTGGGAATGGTGGGATACAACACTCTGAGTGCTAGAAGGGAACTCGCACTCACCACATATATCATCAAAATAATTAGGGGGAAAGTACATAATGCTGACCTATTGGGACAGGTGTATTTTTGTGTGCCAGACGGGTATGTGTGGCGACGGCGACAACCGAGATTGCTGGCGGAGCCGCGCGCCCGTACCAATCTGCTAAGCCAGGCGCCACTGACGCGCGCACTTCGCACATTAAACCTAATAGCCAGCGAGATAGACATATTCTGTTGTGCTCTGAGTGAATTCACAAGAGTAGCGTTGAATGTTATTTGCTATAACATGGACTTGTAATACGTGAGGTCTGTCGGCCTAGTGGGCCCGCCCGGGACAAGTGGTTGTGTGATAGGCGGGTCAGTATGTGCCGTGTCTGGGAGTGGTTTATCTGGGATGGGTGTGATTGGAAGTATATGAGTGTGACTGTGTGTCTGGCTGTAGTGATGAATGAGGTTGCTAAAATTTTTTATTAAATAAGTGTATTTACTACTATATATGTTTGTAACAAGAAATGGCTACACTATTGTATTAGGTACAAAACCTGTAAAAATAGTTGTATTGTGTGTCATATAAATAAATAAAAAATAAATAAATAAAAAAAAGGTCCCCGAGATATTGTGTTGAATGCGAGAGATGGTAGACTTCAACGAGTTTCTGAAATTCATAGATCTTATGACCCACTTCAATATCCTTTACTGTTTCCCTTTGGAAATGACGGATACTGTATAAATATTCCACAACAGAATACTGCTGCTAGATCTAAAACTGTATCATGTATGCAGTTTTATGCATTTAGATTCATGGTGAGAATAAATGACTTTAACAGCATACATTATTTCAAAGGATTATTTAACCAATATTGTGTTGATATGGCGGCAAAAATGATTTCTGAGAGGCTTGACTTCATCAAAAGAAATCAAAAAAAATTGAGAGCAGAAGAGTACATTCATTTAAGAGATGCCGTGGTTAATGATGGCAATATAGACGGTTCTAATATTGGCCAGCACGTTATATTGCCGTCGTCATTTACAGGATCCCCCAGATACATGAATGAAAAAAGTCAAGATGCCATGACATACGTCAGGAAGTTTGGAAGACCAGATCTCTTTATTACATTCACATGTAACTCCGAATGGCCAGAAATAAAAATTGAGTTATTACCCGATCAAAATTCTTACGACAGACATGATTTGGTTTCTAGAGTATTTCATTTAAAACTCAAGAAAATGATAGACCTATTAACGAAGAAAAATATCTTTGGACCATCGAAAGCCTTCGTTTACAGCGTAGAATGGCAAAAAAGAGGTTTACCTCACGCCCACATTTTATTGTGGCTGGCTAACAAAGTACAACCAGATTCTATAGATGCAATAATATCGGCTGAAATACCTGACCAACAACAAGATCCAATTCTTCATAATATTGTCATAAAAAATATGATACATGGTCCTTGCGGATTTCACAATCCTGCGTCACCATGTATGAAAGAAAACATTTGTTCTAAAAAGTACCCTAGGCATTTTATTTCTGAAACACAAACTGGGGATGACGGTTACCCAACCTACAGGCGCAGGTCTCTAGATAATGGTGGAAAAACAGCAACAATTCGTGTCAAAGGTACAGAAATGAGCGTGGATAACAGGTGGGTTGTTCCCTATAATCCAGTGCTATCACGAAGTTTCAATGCACACATTAACGTAGAGTTTTGTCAATCGGTCAAAGCTATTAAGTACATCTGTAAGTATATTCATAAAGGTTCTGATCAAGCCACATTTTCGTTGCAAAATAATAATAATGAAGTAGAAAAATATCTAAATGGTCGCTATACAAGTTCCTCGGAAGCGCTCTGGAGATTTTTCCAATTTCCTATTCATGAACGTTTGCCGGCAGTAGTTCATTTAGCAATTCATTTGGAAAATGGACAAAGAGTTTATTTTTATAATAATGAAAATCTCCAAGATCGCATCAACAATCCTTCACCAACGGCACTTACAGCGTTCTTTGATCTTTGCAAAAGAGACAATTTTGCAAAAACCCTTTTATATCACGAAGTACCCCAGTATTACGTATGGGGAAGAAATTCTTTTTCTAGAAGAAGACGTGGGCAAGATGTTGAAGGATATCCCGGTGTAAAAAAAGACACAACTTTAGGCCGTGTCTACAACATTCATCCAACACAAACTGAATGTTATTATTTAAGAATGATACTGCAACATGTTCGCGGTCCAATGTCGTTTGAACATCTAAGGACCGTTAATGGTGTTATTTTCCAAAGTTATCAAGGCGCTTGCAAGGAATTAGGTTTACTGGAGGGAGATGAACATTGGCAAAATACCATGTCAGATGCTGTCATGTCTGAGCCAGCCACAAAATTAAGAGAATTATTTACCATCATTCTCATATTTTGCCAGCCATCTGACCCCTTAGAGTTATGGAATAAATTTCGAAATGATTTATGTGAAGATATATTAAACAGAATGCGTAATGAGAATCAGGATATGACATTAGCATATAGTGATGATATATACAATGATGGACTTATCATAATTGAAGATAAGATTCATGAGATTTGCGATAAATCATTAACTGATTTTGGGCTTCCTGCATCAAAAAGGAATAATTCACATAATAATTTGGATCCGTTAGAAGTAGCGTTGCGAAAGCCGTATGATGTAAATGAATTAAATGAGTATATTACTGAAAATGAACCAAAATTAGTTAATACCCAGGTGACGGCGTACAATCGTGTTATGCAGTGTTCTTTTTAATGAAGGAAAAATTTTTTTTTTGGATGCTTCAGGTGGAACTGGCAAGACTTTCATTACTAATCTGATATTAGCAAAAGTAAGGTCTCAGGGAAAACTAGCTTTAGCAGTAGCGTCGTCAGGGATCGCTGCAACTTTATTAGCAGGTGGACGCACAGCTCATTCCACTTTTAAACTGCCTCTAACTGTTTCTTTACAGAAAGATAGCGTGTGCTCTATTCGCAAAAATGGCCCTTTGGGAAAAGTTTTGCAAGACGTCACTTTAATAATCTGGGACGAATGTACCATGATCCATAGAGCTCATGTAGAGGCTCTAGATAGGACTCTTAGAGATATTAGAAGCTGTGATAAAATCATGGGTGGGATTACTGTTATGTTTGCTGGGGATTTTCGTCAAACTTTACCGGTAATAGTAAGGGGAACTAGAGCAGACATTGTAAAGTCTTGCCTTAAAAGTTCCCCATTATGGAAGTTTGTTCATACCTTAAAACTATCTACGAATATGAGAGCACATTTGGGGGGAGGTAGCACAAATTTTCCTTCAAAGCTACTTTTAATAGGAGACGGGAAAGTACCTCATTTTGAAAATAAAATTGAAATTGATCGCGATTTAGGAGAAAGAGTGACTAGCATTGAGGATTTAATATCGAAAGTTTACCCTGATATCGTCGAAATAGAAAACAAAGATTATCCATGGATGTGTCAAAGGGCAATATTGGCGGCGAGAAACAGTAGCGTTGACGAAATTAACGAGCTAATTTTAACTAAACTTCCAGGAGATAAAGTTACCTACACATCTATTGATAATGTAATGGATCAAGAAGATGCGGTCCATTACCCACAGGAGTTTCTTAATTCTTTAAACCCGAGTGGCCTTCCCCCACATTCACTCAAGTTAAAAATAGGTGCCCCAATAATTTTACTTAGAAATCTTAAACCACCAAATTTATGTAACGGGACCCGACTTCAAGTCAAATTTCTTCGCAACAATGTGATCGTTGCAATAGTTTTGACTGGTCCAGCAGTAGGTCAAACAGTGCTTATACCTCGCATCCCAATGATTCCAAATGATTTACCTTTTAATTTTAAAAGGATTCAATTTCCCGTTAAGTTATCTTTTGCCGTAACAATTAATAAATCACAGGGGCAAACATTTAAACACGTAGGAATCGATTTACGTCAAGACTGCTTTTCACACGGCCAACTATATGTAGCGTTGTCAAGATCGGGTTGCGGAGAAAATCAGTATGTTCTTCTGCCACAAGAAAATAAAACTAAAAATGTCATTTACGCAGAAGTACTTTAAAATATATTCTTTTAAAAACTTCTTAATCGCGATCATAAAAGCAGATTTTTTTTTTTTTTTTTTTAAAAAGACAACTCCCGCATTAGTGTCGTCCCATGTGGGGTTTGAACCCACAACACTCGGCGTAGTAGGAAGCGGCGTGGCGACCGCTTAAACCACTACGCCATCCGTGCAGTCAAACAAAACAAATTGACGCGGACGAAGTCGCGGGCAACAGCTAGTATTTAATATACATTCAGTATATCGGTGTGTGTTTACGTTCGTGTTGTACTGTGTTACATATTTGTGTATGTTGTGTGTGTCATATGTATGTTTTCGTGTATTTTTGTGGTTGTGTGTACGTGTCGTGTTATTGTCTGTGTGTAGGTGTGGGTTAGGCATAAGCTGTGTTAGCGCGAGCCAGGTAGTCCCACTTCTTCCGCTCCGGGCAGTCGATGCTGAACGCATTGTGGTCCGTCCCTTGCAACCCGGAGCGCGAACAGTTACAGCACCGCGGTTCTTTCCCTGCGACATAGTCTGCGCACTTCTCGCGCAGATGCGGGCCTCCGCAGTGACTGCACATGTCCGCGCCCCCGGTGCAAAATTTACGGCCATGTCCGAATGCTAGGCACCTTGTGCACTGGATGAGCGGAGACTGGTCCTCCACTCTGACCCTTTGAAGGTCGAGGTAGAGGGCTCCAGCCTCCGTCATCCTCCGCCATACGGCAGGCCTCACCTGGAGGATGATGTGGACCGTGTTCGGGTTTCTAGTCCGTTTCTTATACTTAATATTTAGTTCTTCTATGTCTTCTTCCGGTATATCATAAAATATTTCTCTGTTCTGGGTAAAAATGGCGTTCTTCAGGTCCTCATCATCGCTGTCGTTGTGCACGTCCCTCAGAATGACCAGAGGGTCCTTGTTGCGCATTGGAGCTGCCTTTAGTCCGTTGCCGCGTTTTTCTATAATGTTTTGGACTTTATTACGCTCTTCTTCTGTGTCGCAGCCTATGATGACGGTCTGATTTTTCGCTTTCCGGACCTTGTTAATTTTGAGGCCGGTACCTCTAGCATCGACTGCCTTCTTTACTCTGGCGAGTATTTGGTCTGCTGTCTCCAGGCCGCTCTCGAAGGTGACCGCCACCGAGTGAAGCGCGGGGCGGCGAGCGGGTCTTGCTGCTGCGATGCTGGCGTATGTTGCAGGCCCGACGGTTTCGTGCCTGGCTGCAACGACTTCCTCGGCTAGTTTCTCGAGGCGGTCGTGTAGTCGACTTTCGACCTCCGTGGTCATCTGTTCCACGTCCGCTAGCTTCTCGCCGATGGTTTCCTTTAAGTCGGAGCCTCGGTCGTTTGCACTGACGTCGAGCCCTTGTAAGTCCGTCTGGATGGTCTTCTCCATCTCACTGATACGCTCAGTCAGCGTCGCCTCCATCTCCCCCAGTTTCTTGATGACTTCATCCTGCCCTTTGGACGTCAATGTTTCGGTCTTTGGACCTTTGGCCTCGAGCCTCTGCATGCGAGCGCTGAGCTCGAAGACTACTCTCATTCCTTTGTCGGAGTGCGCCTCCAGGAACTGCTTTATATCCCTCCTCATCTGAGGGTACTCCTGGACCTTCGAGGGTATATCCTCGAAGGTCTTCAACAGCCCCTGGAGGAGCAGATCGCTCGACATTGCGGCGTAGTCGTTTTGACGCTTGTTGTAGGTCTCTCTGTTGTCGAGCGATCTCCGTTTTGTCTCTGGCCTCTTGATAAAAGTCCTGGCAGCGTCCTGCGCTGCTGCGGTTGAGGTGGCTGGACTGGGAGTGGTGGGTGTTTTGGTAGCGCCAGAGGTTTTGGGCGTGCGGTATAGGCTCATCTTGTGTGTTTATGTGTATTTACTGGGGAAAATTGTCGTTTGTAAAATGTGTAAATATATGTGTTAGACCCTGTAAAGGGGGGTCCGTGTCAGTTAAATAAAGCCTACAACTAAAATAAAAGAGATCCAAAGTAAAGTATAGAAGTCAATAATTTTTCTGCTCTATGTGGAGCCGTTCAAAATTTTGGTCAAATACAATTACACAGATAATCAAATTTAGAATCTACTCTTTCAGAGTAGTCTATAGTAGTCTAGAGTAGTCTAGTATACAATAAAGTAAGTCACTAATAGGTATTAATTAAAATTTAGATTAAAAAAAATTTGTTTAAAAAAACGACAAAATGTTTAGCTCCCCTGCTCAAAGTCTACCTCCCTAGTAGAACCCGGGAGGGTGGGCGGGCAATTTTTTAATTTTCTACCGAACGGATTTTAAGGGGTTGCCAAATTATAAGCCGAAAACGTGTAAATTTAACAAAATTTTACACCGAAAACTATCTTTCACAGGTGATAGGTCTCCGACGGGACGCCGGAGGTGCTTCAAGCGGTGGTGGTATGCAGGGGAGGTGTCAACGCAGCGATGGTGTAAGCTTCCAGCACCAAAACGACCAGGAACACAGGTAGGTATACTTTTAAAAGTATGTTTTTGTACCTTTTATTACAGAATTACAACAAAAATTGAAAAATTTAGAAAATCTACACAGCGAAACCCCGAAAAAGAGGTGTCCGCGTATAGGCGACGCCGTTGCCGAATTTTAGAAACCAAAATGATCGATATATGTTAGAAAACAAAAGAGTTATTAATTTTTTGAAGAAATTTTTCTAAGTAAATATATAGGCGTCAATATATAAGTTTTGTGATAAATTCCAATAATATCTATCCGAAACAGTATATAATAGCTACTGGTGTATCAATAGAACGCTTAGGTACAAGTTCAAAGTCAATTTTAGCTAGAAAACTTTTTTGGGTTAGGTTAGGTTAGGTTAGGTTAGGTTAGGTTGCCCCGCGTTCGTGGTTGTCGGCCTCCAAGGAAGGAGGTCTACTGGTGGTCCCAGGAGTTGGCGGACCTCCGTGCGGCCTGTGTACGTGCCCGGAGGTCCCTCACTCGTAGTCGGCGACGTCACCGCGGGGTCGGTGAGGAGGTGGACCGGCTTCATGAGGAGTACCGAGAAGCTCGGAAAACTCTGAGGCTGGCCATCTGCCGCGCCAAGGATGCGTGTAGAGAGGAGATGCTGGAGAGTCTCGAGCGT